TCTAAAAGTTTGATCATGGACCACCTGAAGCTTACCTTTGGGGGAGTCAGCACTGAGTTAAAACTCTCTGGAGGTGGGGCCTTTGAACCTACCTTTGAATAACTCCCTGGGGGATTCTCATGTACACTTAAATGTGAGAGCCTCTGAATTATGATCTGAAAATAATACAGTTCTTAGCCTTTCCCAGGGCAAAAGCAGTAATGTGATGAGAAAGAAAAATGGCTTTTGACCTCTGGATTTTTAATATATTCACAAGCTGAGCTGAGATGACACAGTCCTGAGATTTTCGCCTTTAAGCATGCTGTGCCTCACTTTATCCTGTCAGGTCCCTGGTAATCTTTTTTGACCTTAAAAGGTTTTGTTTTTAAAACCCTTGACTTTGGGAAAGTTTTAACCAGGAATGTTTTTGACTTCAAAGTGATCTGTAGCTGGGAGATTATTTCTAGCATGCGTCATCATGGTAAGATGAGTGGAAGGTGCAGGAGGGTCAATGCAGTATAGGTGGTCCTATGAAAAAGGCGACGTTTTGATAATTCTTAACCTAAGCCCCTTCATTTTTGTAGAATCCAAGAATGTCTCATTGTGGGAGCGAATGTCTGTAAATAAACCTCTCTAACAATGCCTTAGATGTGTTTTCCGAACTTATCCACGAAGGTGTGTGTGTGTCTGTGTGTGTGTGTTGCATCTTCCATCAGGACTTCCTGCCCAAGGCTCCAAAGTCTAGGGTTTCCCTCAGAGCCACCACCACAGTGTTTACCCTGTCCATGCACTGTTCTCCCCACACCCACTTCTTTGACCTTAGTTCTTTGTCCCCCAGTGGCTTATGTGATGCATTCCCTGATTCTTCCCAAGTTCCTTTAGGGAAACAAAAAGGTACCAGGTTGCAGATATTATGATTTGTGAGCCAGACAATATGGGTTTGACTATGATTCTTTTTAGGTTAGGATGGATGAGCAACAAGAACTTCGGTATCTTGAGTCTGACTCCAGCAGAATTGGGGTGCAATGTCTCTTGTCTGTTAATGATTCCAGAGACATGATTAAGGCCTACCCCATGAAAGGCATTGCTGGGGGTACAAAAGTGATTCAGACCCCCATCCTGATGGCTGAGAAACATCCCCAGTAGAGGAAGGATAATCAAGTCCACAAATGTAAGAATGGGAGAACACAGTGTGAGTGGACTCAGAAGAGGCAGGGAAACTTCGTTCTCTTTTTCCCAGCCAGGCCTGGGCATTAAGACATTCCCCAGGTATTTTCCATGAAACCAGCCCAGAGCCAGCTGTGTTTGGTTGTGGAATAGGCAGTGGTGTGATTTTAGGCAGGGTTCCCAGCCTCAAATAGCAGTTCCAGTGTCTGTCATTCTATTATAACTTTGTTCTTCTAGGTCTTGAAAGCTTTATCTTGGTGGGGTCTTCCTTGAACACAGATGTTTCTGTTAGGGTCGTTAAGTCGTGGTGAGCTAGTATCTTATTTATTTATTTATTTGAGACCGGGTCTGGCTCTGTCATCACCCAGGCTAGAGTGCAGTGGCATGATCTTGGCTCACTGCAGCCTCAACCTCCCAGGCTCAAGCAATCCTCCCCCTTCAGTCAGCCTCTCAAGTAGTTGGGACTATGGGAGCATACCACCATGCTTGACTAATTCTTTACGGTTTTGGTAGAGGTGGGGTTTTACCATGTTGCCCAGGGTGGCCTCGAACTCCTGAGCTCAAGCAATCCACCCACCTCAGGCTCCCAAAGTACTGGGATTACAGGCGTGAGCCACTGTGCTCGGCCTGAGCTAGTATCTTAATCATCTGCATCTGTAGGATAGCTATCTCTGAATCGTGTTATTATGAATGACTGTTGATATCGTCTTCTGCTTGTGCATTTTTCCCACAGTGAACATGTACATAGAGAAAAGATGATGAGGGGATGGGGGATGTTGATGCCAGACAATCTAACTTCATTCTTTTGTAAATTTAAACTTTAATTCAAACCGGGTAATATGGTTTGGATGTTTGTCTCCTCCAAATCTCACATTGAAATGTGACCTCCAATGTTGGAGGTGGGGCCTAGTGGGAGGTACTGGATCATGGGGATGGATTCCTCATGAATGGCTTAGCAGCATCCCCGTTTGGTGATAAGCGAGTTCTTGCTCTATTAGTTCTTGGGAGATCTGATTGTTTAAAAGGGTCTGGCAGCTCCTTCCTTTCTCTCTTGCTCCCATTCTCACCATGTGATGTGCTGGCTCACCTTTTGCTTTCTGCCATGACGGTAAACTTCCTGAGGCCTCACCAAAAGCAGATGCTGGCATTATGCTTCGTGTACAGCATGCAGAACTATGAGCCAATTAAACCTCTTTTGTTATAAATTACCTAGCCTCAGGTATTTCTTTATAGTGACACAAAAAAGGACTCAGACACTGAGTATGTCACATTGTGAAACAGAAATAACCACTTGATGGAGGTGAGGATACTATTGGCTCTGTTTTCTCTTTGGACAGTCTCTAATTTAAAATGGCCACATTAGCATTTATAGTTACAGCAGGTCTTCTCAACTTCAGCTCTCCTGACATTCTGGGCTGGACAAGTCTTTGTAGCGGAAGCCAAACTTTTGCACTGGAGGATGCTTAGCAGCATCCCTCATCTAATGGGTAGCCATTAGATGCCAGTAGCATCCTCCAGTGGCAACAACCAAAAATGTCTTTAGACATTGCTAAATATTCCCTGGGAGGCAAAACCATCCCGGCTTAGAAATGTTCTATTTCACGCGTTTTGCTGGCTAAAACCTCAAAGAGGATGTAATTTGTGATCTGATAAAACCTGCTCTTGTAGTTTACTGACCTGCTTGTTTAATTAACCAACCTATGACACAGTGGTTAATGATTATCTGCATTTTTGAAACACATCCAGAAAGGACTGAGACAAGTTGAACTGTATAAGAAAAGCAAAGGTTGTGAATGAAAGATCACTTCTCAGCTACAACAGTGACCTGTTAGATTTGCCTCTTCAGCCCACAGACTGACCATTTTACTATTCATTATCATCCACAACACAGAAAGACAGTGTGGAAGTTAAAAATAGACTTTTTTTCCAGAAAATTAATGATGCTACATATATATATATATATCAACAGTTCCCGTCTATTAGTAATAAACACACAGACATAAACACAACTGCAAAAGATAAAAGGCTATTTAAATATTCCATTTAATTTGAAATTTTTTCCATAATGAAAACATTTTATTAGAGAACTGTGGAAATGAGATAAAGGAAAATATGAGCTCATCCTGCCCATCCTCTTCAAGAACTACACTGTTCTGTACACACCCCCACTCCATCTTCCACCCCCAGCCCATAGTCTTATTAAATGTCCCCATTTTAATAATATAAGATACTGCTCATGCCTTCCCCCGGGACAGAAACTCAACAGATGAACAGAGGGCACACATTAGGGGCAACATAATCTTCAAAAGATGACTTCTTTAGTTAGCGGCACTGTGTTGACTACATAGAAAATAAAACTTCCAGCAAAGTCTACGTCACACATTACCAATCCAGGTTTATCAAGCACCCTACAAACTCTGTCTTAAAGATCCTTATACAATTTAACAGAGTCCATTTCTTGATGCTTAATGGTTGTTTTCTTGAAATTATTGGGTACTCTGAATTCCAGAGGATACTGTATAAGTTATTTGTAAATTTCCATATACTTCATCTTAGCCCATTTTGGAATCATTGATTATCTTTTGTTAATCATGACAACATCCGGGATTTTCTTTAATGGTAAATAACAAAATCACTACTATTGAGACCCTTCTGTGAGCCAGGTATTATTTGGGCATGAAACATATACTATTTTATGCAATATTTATAATCCTGCCATATATATACATATATGTATATATATTCACGGGAAAATGGAAGCTCAGGGAGGTCCGGTACTTTGTTGAAAGTCTCACAGTGCATGAATGGCAGGGTCCTGGTTCAAACACAGTTCAAGTAAATAGTCACAGGATGTGAGGCTTGCTCTCAGTTTGTGTAAGGAAAAACTTGTACTTGTTCAAATTTGTTAAAATAGAACCCATCTGCAATATCCCCTGGACTTATCCAAGAAAAAAATAAAACAATCCTAATGGAACATTCAGGAGACTGAGGACCTGGTGTGACCAGGGAATGGACTAGATTGGCTGGAGATATTTTGTTACATTTAGAGAAACAGCCCAAGTGCTTTGTTCACTAGCAAGGAATAAATTGGGCCTTTCTTAAGCCTGGAAGTGAGGAGGATTTGAGAGACAGGGGCTCCCTATGGAAAATACCCAACATTCAAAAGGGCAGGGGGTAGGGCGCTGTATTGTTTTCTCTTGTCCATGCTGTAGCCTGTTAAGGGGGAAGAGGACAGGTCCGCAGGCCCAGTCTGCATGGAAATGCAAGAGTAAAACAAGGGAAAAAAAGAAAAGTGACCACAGCTTAAAAAATCCAAACCCAAACTCAAGCTTAAACCTAAAACCCAAACCCATCCCAAATGCGTTGTGGGAAAGGATTCTACTAACAGTTGAAAATGGAACACCCACCACTGGACTTCAGGCTGTGAGAGTGCAGTCTGATTAATTAAGGTCAAGGTGGTGATGGAAATACCAGCTGGGGAGCATTTTGCCGAAAGATATATTTGTCCCTCTGTATTTCTGCGAGACAGCAAGGAGGTGTGTGTTTGGAGCTAAATTAATTTGATTTACATCATGCCATGGTAACTTCTGTTCTCTCCCTCCGCTGTCATCTGACAGCGGCTTTTTCCCTCTCCTTCTTCACCCCCACACATTTCATAACACGGAAAGAAAGCACGAATTGGCTTCAGGCAGAATTTACATATGGAATAACTCTAATTTGATTATTCTACATTGAGTGCTATTCTCTTCGCCCTAATCCTCCTCTTTCTTGAGAGGAGAGGAGGGGAGGGGAGGGGAGGGAAGGAGGGAGGGAGGGGGGGAGAGAGAGAGAGAGAGAGAGAGAAAGTTGTAAACCCGAGCATAAGTGCTATTTATTTATATTGTGCTTAACGGCGCACAACGCTTGACTGTTCTTGTATGCTCACCTATCCTCCTGTGTTTCTCCAACAAACTAATAGCAGAAAATGAAGTTATGGCCCGGCTCCCGTTAGGAATGCGCTTTTCCTGGCCCTGTCTCTTTCAGCTCCTTCAGGCTTTGGAGGCCGGGGCGGAGGGCACCTCTTGAGGGACCCTGCACAGTCCCGCCCTGGCACCTCCGGGCGGGGTGAGAGGGCGCCCTGTGACCGCGCTCGGCCCACCGCCCCTCGCCCCTTCCAGCGGCGGGGCGCGCTCGGTAGGGCAGGATAAGGTTACGCCGAGGCTTCCTCGGTCGCGAGGGAGGGAGGCGGGTCCCAGCCCGCGCCCCCGCCCGCGGGGGAGTTCCCAGAGTTAGCCGCTCCGGCCCTCGGGGCCATATCCCTGCTGCCCGCCAGGCGCGGCCCGCGGGACCCCGAGAGCAACGCCATGGCCCGGGAGAGGCCGCCCGGGAGGGGCTGCGGCGCCTTGAGCCGGTGTCTACTTGGGGCCGCGCTGCTGCTCGGCCTGCGGCTCTTCGCGGAGCTGCGGCGCGCGGGGCCCGGGTCTCCCGCCTATAGCGCCCCGCCGGGCCCGGCCTGGCGGCCACCTGGGCCGCACCTGCCGCCCGCGCCGGGTTCGCCGCGCGGCGCCAGCAGGAGGCAGGTGATCTACGTGCGCAGCGGGCGGCGGATGCCGCCGGGGGGCGGCGGGAGCGGGACGCTGGAGCCGAGCTGCTGTGCCCCGCGCGGCAGCCCCCGCCGGAAGGTCAGTGGCAAAGAGGGCGGTGTTGGGCCTGGGACCAGAATCCCCCTCCCGACCGCGCTACGGAGCCTGGCCCTCGGGTCCCGCAGGCCGCCCCGCTGGGACCTCCGGAGGCTTCCGCTTCTTCTCTTCCCCCTGTGCTCTCTTAGGCTGCTCCACTGGTCGCATCCCTCAGTGCCCAGATAGACTCAAGTGGGGCCGAGCGGAGTTCATTCACTCTTCAGCCATTACTTGGTGGGCGTCGTCGTGGCCGGGCGCCCTTCCAGGCTCCGCGCATCCCGAGAAGAAGGACGGAGCTCTGTTTGGGTAGTTTAGTAGGGAAGGGCTTGCTTGACAGGCAGGAAAGGGGAAGGCAGGAGGTTAGGCTGCCATTGATGTGGTGTGCTGCTGCCAGCCTTCCACTCGAGGCCTGGCGAGGCCTGGCCAGAGCTGGGTGGATATCGCCGTGAAAGGCCTGTCCATTCCACTGCCTTCCTCTCACTGAAGATCCACCAGCTGAACGAATTTCCCTGGAGTCCCATTGCAGGCTTTCGCTGGGGACTGGGAGGCTGGAGCCCGGTGAGAAGCCGAGCACCCAGCCCTATTTAATGAGAAGTTAATTGGATCCTCGAGGACCCAGGTAATAACCTGGGGGTTTGTCTTACAACTCTCGACAGTGTTGTGCCTCCTACTTCATTAACTTCTTGGCTCACACCTCACTGAGTGGTCCAGTTTTATCCTCTGATGATTAAGGTTTTGGCCACTTAACTCCTTTTTGGAGCTCGGTAATTTGCATCGTACTTGGAAATGAAAAGAACTACAGGTATGAGCTCACCTGGTCCTTTTACCCATCAGCTCCTCCTTCTAGCCTCAACTCTCTGTTTCCCGGATTTTCCTCGTGTCTTTTAGACAACTACCCCAACCTCCACCCCGCTTCCCACCACCGGCCCTGGAGGGGAGAGAACAACCCTTTGCCTCGCTGCTGTCTTCGGCTGCCCAGTGCCAGCCTCCTTCTTAGCACCACAGCCCAGCACTGCTGCCGCGGCCTCCTTTCCCCGCTTCCTCAGTGCCTCGGTCTCCGTCTTTCCACGCCACTGCTGTTCCTTTCTGGGCGGTCAGTGCTCGCTTCCTGGATACACTGAAATACCTTTTTCTATCTCGCAAACTTCCCCTCCTATGCAAAGTCTTAATTAGCTCTTCCAGAGGAGAGCAGCCATTTCCTCTCGAAGATCCTAACTCACTGTCCGTGACACCATGTTAAACGTTCAGCACAGTTTTGCCAAGGGCTTACCAGATAGGCATCAGGTGCTGGAGGCACAAAACGAGTTCAGATTCTCGTGGGGAAGGCTCTTCGCACAGGTATCCGGTGATTTCCAATCCTGTAATTGAGGCCTTCAGCTCTGCCTGGGGAGAAAGAAAGGCTGCTCAAGGTGGGGGACATTTGACCTACAATATGGTGGGTTTTTTTTTTTTTTTAAGCCGGAGTCTCACTCTGTTGCCCAGGCTAGAGTACAGTGGCTTGATCTTGGCTCACTGTAACCTCTGCCTCCTGGGTTCAAGCGATTCTTCTGGCTAGCTGGGATTATAGGTGTGTACCACCACGCTGGGCTAATTTTTGTATCTTTAGTAGAGATAGGGTTTCACCATGTTGGCCAGGCTGGTCTCGAACTCCTAACCTCAAGTGATCCAACCACCTCTACCCCGCCGCACCCCGAAGTGCTGGGATTACAGGTGTGAGCCACCATACCTGGCCAACAGTGTGATGTTTCTTAAGAGTGGAGCTTCTTTTATTCCCCTGTGGATGTCCTCCAATGTCCCGTTCTTGATACCCTTAGCCCCACCGTGCAGTTTTCCTTTCAGATTCACTCTCAACATCCGTTGTTTCTGCTGTCACCTGTCAAAGAATTACTCTTAACTCTTTGTCTCTACCTCAGACAACAGTATTGATGGCTGGACCATGTTCTGCAAAGGACAGGTTTGGAATGCACAGACTCAGTGGGGCACTGGAGGGGAGGTTTCACACCCATCACGGCTAGGAGCTAGGAGGCTACCACAGTGATTCATGCTGGAGATGGGGGTGGCTTACCGTGGTAGGTGTGGAGGTGGTGAGAAGTGGTTGGTTTTTGGATATGTTTGGAAGGTAGATGAAGAGGAGCAGTTATTTCTCTCTGTTTTATTTGGGGGATAGATGGAAAGCAGGAGATCGGTTTTAGGCAAGTTAAGTTTGAGATATCCTTCAGGTATGCATGTGAAAATGTCAAATAGGCAGCCAGACGTGTGAGTCCAGAGCTTGGAGGAAATGTCCAGGCAGAAGGTGGTGATTTGGGAGTCATCCAGGTACAAGTGGTGCTAAAACTGAAAGACAGTATGTGATTACGAAGTGAGTGTGGCTAACAGAGAGAATGAACCCAAGCCTGTGACCTGGGGCTGTTTTATTAAAATTAAATTAGGAAAAAAAGTAAAGGAAATGTTTAGCTTTGTGCCTGGCATGTTAAGCTCTCAATACCGGTAGCTTTGCTTTCTGTAGCCTGCTCCAGCGTTGTAGCCTCAGCCAGTCTCCACATGTCATTCACTGTAGCCTGCAAAGGTGGCTTATGCTGACTCCTCTACCTGCAAGGCCCATATCCCCCTTTCTTATGACTCCTGCCCTTTCCATCCTTGGACATTCCTCAGGTCAAAGGTTCATAGCCCAGAAATCTTCCCATAGCAACCCTGCTTCATGCTGACCCCTCCCCCATTTGGAATGACGACAGAAATAGAGTCTGATTTGTGCATAGCTTTGTACAAGTTGAGACCTGATAATCCATTTCAGATGGAGTGTTTTGTCTCCACAGTTGTTCTTGATGGGAAGGATTGCATTTCCCATAGTGACCCCTAGTAAATATTTACTCCTGAGACCCCAATATGTGAAAGTATAAGAATCTTACTATTTTAGCCTATTCTGTAACTGTAAATATCTTTGGTTAAAAATTTATAAGAAATAAGTGGTCTTTTTGCTATTTCTAAAATATTAAGTTTTTAGCCTCCTAAGGTAAACATTTTCTTAGATTTCCTTCTCCATAGCTATGATTTTCAGGATATACATCTAACCTTCCCAAATCCCTAGGTAGTGGGGATCTTGAATTTGTTTTATTCTCCCATTATTTCACAGTTGAATTAAAATATTCCCTAAAACTCTAGAAAGATCAGTTCTCTAATCCATCCTCCCACTTCTGGGAACAGAGCTCAATACCCCATATCTCTCTAGGGATAAGTCTTGTTTATTTTTCAGCCTAACATCAAGACAGCAGTGCAATATAAGCTGAATGTACCATTAAGTAATTGAAATAAAATTAGGAAGCTATTTGTTAAACTCCTTGGATCGTATTTTATTTAGATTTTGTTTGTTGAAAATACTCATCAACAATATTGTTAGGTTCTTGGTTACTTTGCCCCCGGTACTCCCAGATTGATAAAGGAGAAAAAGTTCTATTCTATTTTGAGGACAGCTTTCCGGGTAGATGAAAACCTGCATGAAATAATTGGATTGCCAAGTATTTCTTGTTACTCTGCTTCCACTGCAGGTGTTAAAAGCACCAAAATTCTGCCACTTTCATCATAGCTTATGTTTCTCTTAAAGAAAACAATCTATTATAAAAAAGAGTGGTGAAGCATAGTCTTCATGTAATTCTTTCTTCATCCCCTTCTTCACAGAGTCATCCAAGAACTATCTCTAAATATTTTCAGTTCTTTGACATCAGGGGTTCTCATCTTCAAGCTTTGTGAAATGAGAGCCAATGATAGCTGATGGATAAATACTCCCCTTTTTGGTTATGTCTACCCTGGAACCTATATATTCTTGTGCATTACAGACTCTTTAGGCATTCTGTTGGGGCTCTTCATCTCCAAATTTTGCATACTGTGCATGCGTAAAAATATCACTCTGATGCTTTTTCTTTCTCTTCTCTCTGTTTTCTTCTGTATGTGTTTTGTTTTGATTTTTTCTTTCTTAAATGAAACAGACCTTTACTATGATTATGGATAAAGTTATTTGTGAAGGGATTTATAGAGGAGTAGATATGGTCTCCATGATTTATGTTTTTTAATGCAGCTCTTGGGAGGATGTTTTATCTCTTATAGGTTGGCAATCCACCTAAAAGGCAGATGCAAAATACAGGGCTCGTTTGCAAAGGAGAGTCACTCACTCAGTGGCCAAGCTTCCCGTAGAAATTTCAACTCTCTTATCAGATATATTTTACTTGACATTTACTATGTTGGATAGAAAAGTGACTTCTGAGTCATGGAGCTCCAGAACCTAGCAATGTGCTGGCTTGGTTCGTCAGTTACAAATCTTTTGGAACAATGTGTCAGGGGGAAAAAAAAATAGAACTGTTTCCCCTTCTCCTGAAAAACCATATGGCAAATTTGGTCTTTCTTCCTCACTTCTTGTCATCCTCTTAGTTTTCTAATTCTGTGATTGTCATCAGGAAGAAAGAGGAAAAATGGCATAGGATGCCCCCTGAAATATCCAACTGCCTTAAGAGTCCTTATTCTTTACAAAAATATTTGAAGGTAGGTTTGAATTGCTTGTGAAACCTGGCCCAGCAGTAGTTTCCAGCTCCTCAGGTTTTTGCCTGTGTACCTACACTTCTGTTCTTCAGGGAGCAACATTAATCAGTCCTCTCACGCTGTCCTTAGGAGGCAAAGCATTTTCATTTTAAACAAAGTCATTGAGGGTAATTGAATAAGCTCCAGCAATATGTGGGTGTGAAATAGCAGTTGCTTAGTCGCACAAAGAAAAGCAGGTTTTTATTACAACTTTGGTGTGTCCTGGATGAGGAACAGAGCCCCATACTTTTTCCAAGCCCCATAGTTCCTCAGAGAGCATTCTGTGGGCAAAGGAACTACTAATGGAGGCTCGATTGTTTTTCAACCACTGGTGGTGGAGATTTTAAGGTTTTGTGTGTAATTTGTCCCAGTCCATTTTCTCCAAGGAAAAGAATGTCTTGTCAGTTTTCTCAAATAGAATTGAATTTCCTTTTTAG